CCTCCTGCTCCTCCTTACTCCTCCTCCTACCTCCTTCCTCCCTCGTACCCCAAAGAGAAAGAAAAGTTGAGTTCATCATGATCCCTCCGCGGCGTCGTGGAGATCCTGCTGGAACTCTCCCCAGATACGTCAAAGTCAAAAGTGCAGCAGCTTCTGAACCCCTGCAGAGTTTTAGATACACCTTTTTTCCTCCTCCTCCTCCTCCCCCTCCTCCTCCTCCTCCTTTTATCTCCTCCTCCCCCTCCTGCCTCTTCCCCCCTCCTCCTCCGACTTCTGTCACTCCTCCCCCTACCTCCCTCTTACCATGTCCGTGCGCGCCTCCCTCCCACTGGCCCTCGTAGCAGCTTCCGTTGGGGGTGACAATCTTGACGAGTTTTCTCTTGGGGTTTTCAAAGATCTGTGAGTCTGTCGTGCTGTCAGCGAGCAGGAGGAGGGAGAGGGAGAGGATGCTGATACCCAGATAGTCTGTTTCCGCTTCCTTCGCGTCTGCAAGAACTTGCAAGATGCACTGCGAGAAGAGTTTACAGGAAGGAGGAGAAAGAGGTGCAGACAGCAGAAGCAGGGAGCCCAGGTGAAGTAGTAGGAAGAGGAGGAGAAGAAGATTGTTCAGATGGAGGAGCAGCATAAAGATAAGATAGAGTGTGAGAAGGAGGAGGGTCGAACCGAGACGGCTCGATGGCTCATGTTTCCCTTGAGCATCTCAAGCTTATGATTGAATGCTTCCTTGGCTTTCATGAGCTCCTCGTAGTCGCTGAGAGAGAAAACTTTCTGACGCGCCCTCAGATAATCTTCTAGCTCCTTCTCGCTCCTCTTCTTCCAATCCAGGTACTCCTCCCGCTCCTTGCGGAGCCTGACGCTGTCAACCTGGAGTTTGATCTCCATCCTACGTATCGCAGCCTCCTCCTCGTCGTCGATGACTCCGTCTTTCTCAGCTGCCTCTCTCAGCTCCTGCAGCTCGCTCTGGTTCTTCTCAATCACGGCTTCAGCCTGATCAAACAAGTTAGAAAGGTGGGAATGGATTGGAGGAGGAGGAGGAGGAGGAGGAGGAGGAGGAGGAGGAAGGGCGTGCTATTGAGTGTTGGGCAATGTGAACTCACTCTTTCAAATTCAGCCTTTTCTTTCATCACTCGCGCTTGAGCCTCGTCAGCTTCTGACTTCTCGATCTCGATCTCCAACATGATCTTCTCCCATTTCCTACGAGACTTCTGCACCTCATGATCTCTTTCTTTCACCTCGTTTTCCTCTCGCGAGATCTTGATAGCAACGAAGTATCTTGTCACCGTGTTGATCTTGTCGAGGATTTGCAGGAACACATCGGTCTTGAGCTCTCGGTACAGCCGGTTGAAGCGCGAGATGTCGACCTCAGTCGACTTCTCCTCCTCCGCCGGCGCAGAACCCTCGTAAGACAGGCGCATGAAGCATGACTGGAACTGTCGAAGGTCCTCGTACAGAACTTCCGGCTTGTATCGCTGCATCGCCTGCGCGTCTCGCTCTCGCACGGGTGTCTTCCTCAGCGCAGGAGAACTTCTAACGATCCTCTCAAAGTTGCGCGAGGTGGAAGGACGGGAGGGAAGTAGCAGCCAGGGCCCAGCAGGACGCGAAGCCATGCCCTTGCTCAAGTCCACCTGGAAGTCCTCCAGTCCAGCCATGCAGGTGTGCCCCACCCTCCCGTACCAGCTCTTGCTCGCGACAGCTCGACGATGAGTTGGGTAGCAGTAGCCGCCTGACCGCAGGAAGATCTTGTCTCCTCCTTGCCTGACATCGAACAAGCTCGACGTGCTCAAGGCGTCGTTCCACTTTTCAGCTGTCATGTTGCCCCTGCTCAGCTCGTTTTCTGCGTAGAGCCTGCCAACCTCTGAAGCGCTCAAGTGGCCGTGAGGAAGAGCAAGGCGAGAAGGACGAGACGGAAGGTCTTGAGAGTTCAGCAGGAGAGACGCGAGGTCGTCGACTTGTGAACTCTTCCTCTTTGAACTTCTCAAGTTCACCATCGCGGGCATCAGATACTTGACCTTGTTGAATCCTCTCCTCCAGAGTTGCTGCGCCCTGGTGAACCCGCTGCGATCATCCGAGTTGACAGACATGGCGGAGACTTCCTCCTGTCCTGTCCTGTCCTGTCCTGTCCTGTCCTGTCCTGTCCTGTCCTGTCCTGTCCTGTCCTGTCCTGTCCTGTCCTCTGTCCTCTACTTCACTGCTCCCGGGCCCCCATGCTTTCTCTGGGCCCTACAGCCTAAACCGCACCAACGGGATATTGAAACAAACAAGGACAGCAAAAGCGAGCTATCAGATCTACTAGTGAAACACTTCTGCCTTATTGATAATCCTATCAATATCACAAGGCATCGGGTTTATCAGGGGTTGAGTGAAGGTATTAGTTATGTCCGGTCGGTGAGGTTGAGTGGGGTTTGGTGTCTTTCTGGTCTCTTATTATTTATTATTGTGCCTGAGGCAGAAAGAGTGAATTAGAAGCTTTCCTAGCAGTCCGCGATGTAACTGCCCTTTCTTCAAGCCTTTGCTGATCAATGTGCGGGTCCAGTTTCATGATTGGTCGTCCGGCATTACTAAGTTACTAGCTAGGTGCAGCCCTGCCATGATAGGCGCGCCTAACATGCCCCGGGCCCGGCCCCCGGCCCGTCCGACTGGCCGGGCCGGCGTCCTGACGCGGCGTCGGAGCCCCCGGTCAGCGGTTCAGGCTCAGCCGGCGAATCAGGAGGCAGCCCGGCACTGCGGCACTCAGCCGCAGACTTTTGGCCGTGACCGCCGGATACCTCAGTGAGAAGTACTTGGTCAGGGTCAATGACTTCCAGACTGGAGTCAACCGACTGCACGTCGCCCAGCTGGTGCCAACAAGACACGAGTAAGAGACTTGAGGGAAGAAATCATTCACACCTCGACGTTGATAATGTTGGAGGCAACTTGAACGCCTTGCTGCTGTGAGGCTGTTCGCTCTTGCTCCTCATCCTCACTATCCACAATGATGATGCATTCCTCCCTCTTGCGCTTTCGCTCGTTCTGAGCATTTGACTCTTTCTTCTCTTTGACATCCTGTTCATCAGTTTCTTAGTGTTTGCCCCTTTGCTTTCCTCTTCTTTGACTTTTGCTCATTTCTTACCACGTGAGATTCTTCTTCTAGTATTATCACTTCTTGTTCTTCTTCTCTGTGCTCGAGGCGTCGTGTGCAGCAGTCGCAAACATGCTGCATATTACTCGAGTCATTCAAAATGAATTTGACTTCAAAAAGTCTGCACAAGAGCACCCGACCAAAACTTACCTCGTCGTAGTAATATTCGGCCCATCCTCTGGCCTTGCTACACTGAAAAATGTCCGAGTCATTGACTCCACAGGATGTTGACTGATAGCAAAATTCTCCACTTACATTCTACAGCAGCAATTTTCGGCAGTGACAGTCAAAACAACAGGTCAGCAACTCATGAAGCTGAGCATGTGACAAACTCACACAACACTTTGTCGGATACCAGCAGATGGAGAGTTTGAGATGTAACGACATGTGCAAGCAAGATGATATCAGATGAGGGTCTCTCACCCCAACTCCATCCCATACTCACATACTATCCAGCGGCATGAGTTACCCCATCCAAGCCCGCGACACAAAATCCAGAAACAAGAGAGTCAGATGCATGTCCCCTTAACACTGCCACCCCATCCCATACTTACATCCTGTCATGCCCCGACGCGCGTCCCGTCCGCCAAGCCCCAAGTGCGTAACACAAAATCCAGAAACAGAATAGATCAAATTCATCTCTCTCTCTCACCACCACCCATATCAAACTTACATACTATCAAGCCCGTCGGCAAGTTCCGTCCCAAGCCCCATGTAAACAACCAGATATGTCAGACATGACTTTATCTCAGGTACCCAATCCCATCCCATATCGTACTTACATACTAGCAAGCGCAAGCCCCGGTCGCAAGCCCATCCCAGCGAGTGATGCAAAATACGAAAACAAATATCAATTATGCTCCAAGTCGTTTCCTCTACTCGTGAGAAAATTCCTTCACCGGGCAAATCTTCTCTTCATCAATAGATACATGTTCTTCCTCCCTTGTTCCACAATATGTGCAGGTGACATCGTCCTTTGAGTTTGCGGTGAAGGTCTGGACAAAAAGGTGTAAATCATCAGCGCAATATGCAGTCACCACCCATCCATCCCATCCCATATCGTACTTACACCCTGTTATGCCCCGCACGTCCGCCAAGTCGCAAGTCCAGAATATACAATCCCGAAGCAAGACATGTCAGATTCATACCCTTCTCTCGCCATCCCATCCCATCCCATCCGCCCCCATCCTGCACTATACTTACATACTAGAAAGCCCCGTCGCGAGTCCCATGCCGCCCCAAGTCCACCACACAAAATCCAGAGATAAAATGGTCAGATTCACATCAAACTCTCACTCCAACCCCATCCCATATTGCACTTACATCCTATCCAGTCCAATGGCGAGCCATCCCAGCGTATGACACAATACGAAAACAATCATCAATGATGCTTCAAGTCAAGTTCTCTATGAGAAATTCCTTTACCGGGCAAATCAGCTCATCATCAACATGTTCGCCTTCGCCTCCATCACAGTACATGCAGGTGTAATCGTCGTCCATATCAAAGGTCTGGACAATAAGATACGATTCATCAGCTCGATCTGCAGTCTCCATCCCCCGTCTCATCCCATACTTACACACTGCCATACCCCGTCGCGAGTCCCGTCCGGCAAGCCCCGATTCCGGAGTACACAATCCAGAAGCAAGACATGTCAGAGTCATACCTCTCTCGCCACCCCACCCCATCCCATACTTACATACTATCCGATCCCAGCACGAGTCACGCCGCCCGGACACCAAACCCGTAACAAAAGGTCCGAAACAAGAAAGGTCAGACTCATACCCCTCTCTCATCCCATCATCCCATCCCATATCGTACTTACACCCTATGTAACCTCGTCGCGAGTCCCGTCCGCCAAGCCCGGCCCAAGCCCAGAAGCAAGACATGTCAGAGTCATCATTACCCTTCGTAGTCTCGCCACCCCATCCCATCCCATTGAAGGATTCCATCCCGTCGAATGATTCGCCCATCCCATCCCATCCCATCGAATGATCCCATCCCATCCGCTCCCATCCTACACTATACTTACATACTAGAAAGCCCCGTCGGGAGTCCCATGCAAGCCCCAAGTCCGCCACACAAAACCCAGAGATAAAATATTTCAGATCGCACTTTCCCTCTGCTCTCCCATCTTATATAATGCTGCCTTACATGCTATCCGAAGTCCCGTTGCGAGCCCATCAAAGCAACCGATTGAGAAAGCAAGGACCATGTCAGATCCTTTTCTGTTTCTGAATTCCTACTTATACTCACCGACTTAACGACAACAACATTGTACCATCGACATTTGAAAAGCAAATATTAGATGGAAGAACAATAAGCGGCAGTCTGATTACACAGGTGGTGCCTTTGTATTTTCCAGGAACAATCTCGATCTAAAGCATATCAAGTCAAAGGCAGTGAGAGATCCCACCCACCCATTGGTACCATTTCTCAGACCCCATCCCATCCCATCCCATCACTACCATCACTACAATCCCATCCCATCACTACCATCACTACCATCACTACCATCCCATCCCATCACTACCATCCCATCCCATCACTACCATCACTACCCTCCCATCCCATCACTACTATCCCATCCCATCACTACTATCCCATCCCATTACTACTATCACTACTATCCCATCCCATCACTACTATCACTACTATCCCATCCCATCACTACCATCACTACTATCCCATCCCATCACTACTATCACTACCCTCCCATCCCATCACTACCATCACTACTATCCCACTATCCCACATCCCATTTTGTGGTCGCTCACATCGCAATCTTTGCACTTCCTCCGGTAGGTAGTGCGCATTTTCAAATGTTGCAAGCCTATTAAACCCTACCCCACCTCACTGTCGATGCAAAACAATCCTACCCCTGATCCTACCCCCATTCATTCCACCTAATGGGGGGGATGCCAGCCACATTTGACTACCCCCCACCCCATCGGGCTCAGAGGACCAAAAAGTCAGAGCAGGGTGCCTGTTGGGCCAGGTCACGGTACTCATATCAGGTCCGCCTCGGAGCTTTATTCTACTCACAGATTCCATGAGGATTGGTTTGGTTTCCAAGAGTGCAAACAATATGATAAAATATCATCGCTGTTGATAATGGGCGGAGAGTGGGGATGTTTGAGTGTCCGATCAAATTATGTATGTAGTGTGCATGTATTGCTCGCATGCATTTGCGTGCGGTTTGTACGAGAAATGGTTATGAAATGAATGGTTTAATTCTCAATGTATTGCATCTGATGAGCAGTATCTTTGTCTCGGATATTGTGGGATGAGTTGGAGATTGAAATGCGGTTTTTGATTCTTTTGTCAGTTTTGAAGGGCGAGTTTATCGTCGAAGTTCCCGGCACTCTGGTGAGCAGGTTGAGAGCACATCAAACACAGTACTGGGTCCTCATAGCATACACAGAGCGAATGGGAAAAAGTTTAAGATAGGCAAGTTTGAAACTCCTTCCTTGCTTGAGCTCTCCTCTCGTTGCCTTCGAGATCGCCCACCCGCGTTAAGGCTAGGGATGTCGCAGGACCGGAAGCCTAAGGGATTCCTGATGGGACGATTGAAAGGTCTCTATCAAAAAACTTCAGGCAGATTGGGCTAGATGATGAGTTCCTGAGCCCCAACTCTTGTCCTGAAGATGGAGTGTGGACCACTACATTGCAGGATTTCTTTCTGATTTGCAGCAAAATCGCCGTCGGAAGATGTAGGGTAATGAGCCTGAGAAAGGAACTTCATTGCTAATGGACATTGAACCCCTCAGGGGCTATGACAATAGTGCTTTTCGCACCCATCAATCTGTGTCTCTCCATCCTTGTCCATACTCGACAGGTTCATATCCCGTGTGCTTGTCACCCTCCCACTTCCTGAAGAACAAGAATCAGTTCTGTCAAGCAGCAAAGCAACCACTCACCCTCTTCCATCAGTCCAATAGTTCTCCTGGTACTTGAGGGGTTTCAGCTTTCCAAACCAAGACCCATCTCGATTCCTTTGGTGGCCTTGGGCATTCTTAGCATTCTTAGCATTGTTGATGGCGTTCAGGTAGCCTTTGTCTTTCATTCCTTGGATCGACTTGTGAAACTGCTCCTGAGCTTCTTGAATCTTCTGCTTCTTCTCCAGCTTCTTCTTCAAGAAGCCGAATGGGTCGTTGTTTATGTAGACGTCTTTCCTGCTTGGCGACATCGTGTTCTGCTTGGATATTGCTGGAGCCGGGACGGGAGCTGGAGCTGGAGCTGGAGCTGGCGCCGGAGTTGGGACTGAAGCTGGCGCCGGAGAAGGAGTGGAAGCAGGAGCTGGCGCCGGAGTTTTCACTTCCTCTTTGTCCCGCTTGGGTTTTTCCCTGTAGACATCTCGATCGGAGATGATCTTGTAGATGTACCTGACTTCCTTCTTCACCTCGTCCTTATTGACCAGCCCCAGGCTCTCCCTACTGAAAGCTTCTATCGCCGCCTCTGACATCGTGTCGTTGAGAGTAGAGCCGTGTAGATATTTGACTTGATCCGAGGTGTCTGGCCCATTGTACAAGACCTCCAGCTGCCAGTTCTCAGCCAAGTTCCTCCACACCACCGACAGGAAGTGATATCCTGACGCTAGGCTGACCTCCGTGCGAGCAAAGACTTGCTGGTCCTGGCCCTTGACCTGAAGTTTAGAGACTCCATCGACATGCAGCTGCATTTGCCCTACAGTCTTGATCATGAAGGTGTATGCTCCAGCTTTCTTCACCTGAAACCAGCCCATGCACTCGACAGTGAGGGCAGTCAAGTTGTTAGGAAGAGAGTCTGAGTAAGTTTCACGGCTTGTGTAGTTGATGACGGGCAGCAGGACGGTTGAAAGAGGAGTATCCGACACCCGATGCTTTAGCTTGTGGGAGGTCTTGGCCGTCTCAAAGTTGGAGCACTGAAACCCATCAACGACAGGGAAGCCGACTTCATCGCGGGCTGGCTCCTCAACGATAACTCGGACAGTATTGTTTTCAACGGGCTGAATGATTTCGGACACGTTCCATTGTGGCACAAAGGGTTGTACACCATAGATAGAACCGGATTGATGGAAAGCAAGGATGTTGGAAGCTTTGCCGTCACTCTCGATCTTCCATGTCGCGTCAAGCACTGGATCCTGATGGTGACTGTACATGACGATCTGCATGTAGTGATACCCCGTCTTCAGCCTCGCGGACCCGATCTGCGTGCCTACGTCGTGATGTGAAGGGTCATCGATCACAATGAGCCCGTCGATGAGCAAGCGAACGCTGCCCTTGGAGCGGAGGAAGAAGGAGTAGTCCCCGGAGACAGAGACAGGGATCATGCCTTGGAAGACGACGAGGAGGTTGCGAGTATCGACGTCATCTCCAAGGAGGCGCTTCCAGTCGTTATCGTTGTTGAGCTGTAAATCTGTCAAGGTTCCGTCAAATTCAGGATTTGACATCATGAATGTGTCGAATGATTTTGAATCTGATTTGTAGTTGTTATAGATGAAGAACTTGAAACCTTTCTCCAACCCCAAGGTGCCAGGCTGAGGAAGTTCAGCTGCACTAGAAGATTGCTCCGCCTGATTGTCTTTGGCCGATGACGCGTTGAGGTGCAGGCCGCTCAACGGCTTCTGCTTTTCGTCTGTTGAAGGACCCGCCCACCTTGCAGTCAGCACTGGATCCTGATGGTGACTGTACATGACGATCTGCATGTAGTGATACCCCGTCTTCAGCCTCGCGGACCCGATCCGCGTGCCTACGTCGTGATGTGAAGGGTCATCGATCACAATGAGCCCGTCGATGAGCAAGCGAACGCTGCCCTTGGAGCGGAGGAAGAAGGAGTAGTCCCCGGAGACAGAGACAGGGATCATGCCTTGGAAGACGACGAGGAGGTTGCGAGTATCGACGTCATCTCCAAGGAGGCGCTTCCAGTCGTTATCATTGTCAAACCTGATGTCGTAGAGTGGTGCATGGACAGGCCGCAGCTCGTTGGTTTTTATCTCACGCTTGAATGGACTCTCAAGCACTTTTGCATGTTCCATGAAGAAACCTTTTCCGAACCCGTTGGCATTAGGTGAAGCCAGGTTCTTGTAGGTTGGGTTCGCAAATTTATCGCACTGATTCTTGCTGTTGAAGCTGTTGCTGTGAAACGGTTTGCATCGCTCATCGCCTCCTTTTGAACAGTATTGCTGAGAATTGCTTTCATAGCAAAATCCTTTCTTGTTCAGAAATGGACAACCCCCGTTTTTGAGGGAAAGACGACAGTTCTCCATTTTGCAAAATCTTAGATCCCGATCACTCTTGCTTCTCTGATATCTCTCACAGTAGTACGTGAGGTACAGAGGCTGAAGCAGTTGCTCACAGAACTTCTGTTGTTGTTTGGAATTGATCTGTATACACCGATCATCGTCCTTTCCATCATGCTTGCAGTATTTCTGACCATCCACATTATAGCAAATTTCTTCGCTGTTAACGAAATGGCAAAGAGAATGCTTTTCTGCAAGTTTACAACTAGCCTTGACACATGTACGGTAAGAGTCACTTGAATTGGTCTGGATGTACGGAATACAAGCATCGATGACTTGCAGAGGTACAACCTTGGGCTCAGGTTCCTTGGGCTCAGGTTCCTTGGGCTCAGGTTCCTTGGGCTCAGGTTCCTTGGGCTCAGGTTCCTTGGGCTCAGGTTCCTTGGGCTCAGGTTCCTTGGGCTCAGGTTCCTTGGGCTCAGGTTCCTTGGGCTCAGGTTCCTTGGGCTCAGGTTCCTTGGGCTCAGGTTCCTTGGGCTCAGGTTCCTTGGGCTCAGGTTCCTTGGGCTCAGGCTTTGGCGGTGGAGGAGGTTCAACATGAGGAAATTTGACCATGTGGGGATCTTGCCCGCAATGTGCCATTCCTTGCCAATTCGACAACAAGTAATTGTATCGCCTGTCGTCAGGACCCTTGTGTCTGACCATCATCCTGGATGTAGTGTAGAGCTCTGTGATCACAATCGACATGTTGTATGCTCCTGGGACTAGATCAACACTCTGACACTTCTTGATGCCTCCAGGATAAATCATCTGCAGAATCTGTGCATCTCCAAACACAAACGTCGCTTTGGATGCTGATTCAATACAGAAACTGTGGGTTCCACCTTTCATGATGTATTTGATCCCGCTGGCTACCACAAAAATGTTTTTCAGGTGTTCAAAATGCAGCCTGCTTTGAATGGTGTTGCCCAAATAGAAATCCATCCTTCTTGACCTTTGCGCGAGGACAGGCTTCGAGATCAATTCAGGCATGAACGAAAAGTTGAGATACCACTTGATACACCACGCACTCTCACAATTGCACTCCGGAGGGGTCTGTGCATGACACGTAGACTTATCGAAACCAGATGAAGGTATGACAATCGCCATGCCGTTGGTGTCGGGCCCCCTGTACGTCGCTTTGAACGACATCTTCTGCCCGTAGCGGCTGATAACCGTCACCGAGACATTGTAATCCCGCTGCTGGCACATGACAGTCCTACACTTGAGGTTTGGCTTGAATGATCCCGGGTAATACAAGATGCGACGGCCATCCAGACGAATCGAGCCGTGAGAGTCCATGCAGAACTCATATCTACCAGGTTGCTCAATGGGCAAGACACCGCTGAAGTAGCTTGCTAGAAGTATTCTTCGGTGAGGGACCATTGCCCCTTCCAGCTGATTCACAATCTCCGAGTCTAAACTGCTTGATTCGGCAGTTACAAGGATAGACTTGCTCCTGGAGCTACGATAGAACCATCCTCCGTAGGTAGAAGTCGTCAGAAACCAATTGGAGCACCACCGATTACCACTGTACACGATCGTATTGGCGATGGGAGGACGTATAAAGTCAGAAGCTCGGAGGAGCTTCAATTTGCCAAGCGTGTCTGGACCAGAATACTGCAGGGAGAAGGATTTGTCATAGCCTGAGAACAAGAGTCAGAATTCTTCACAATTTCAAAGAGGTTTGATACCATTTGTGAATCCAGAGACTCGGACAATGTGATACCCCTTGTTCAATGTCATTTCATTCGCTGCAGTACCTTGGGTCTCTTCCCCGTCTACCATTACCGAACTCAATCCAGTAGCCACAAACGAATAATTTCCGGTCAACTTCAGATGCAAAACTCCAGTTGCATGGAAATAGACTCCAGAAGCTGTCGGCCATTCTGGATCGAGGTCCTTGAAATCCATGTCATCACTGAAATCAATGTAGCGGCTATTTGCGACATGATTGCGTAGTTTGCCTTTAATGTCGGGAGTCGAGCTGAGATTCTTGTCATAGTAAAACGAAGAAACAACAAAGCCATGATTAGTATTTGATTGAATATCGCGGCCGGCAAAGTCGACTGTCGGAAGATCTCTAAAATAATTGTTTGTGTCTGGACCGCGATAACGAAGATGCAGAAACGCTCTGTTTTTCACAATCCAATAACTCATACGAAATGTGTGTATTCCAGATTCAAGCAAGATCCTTCCGTGTGAAGTCTTGCTACCGTGTTTTCCTTCAAGGTTGATAACATTCTTGCCGTCTACCCAGAATTTCGAACCATCGACCGACGTCAAATAGAAAGTGTAGTATCCGCCTAGATGAATGTAAAAACTTCCTTTGATGATGATTGCCGTGTACCCGACTGGAATTGAAGGATCTAGTGACTGAAATTGATAGAGGTTTTTCAAATCAATCTTTTTCATGATGGCTGCATTGGAGAATGGCACCAAGTTGTAGAGAATGTTTTTAGGAATTCTATCATGGGTCTCGTTCAAATGATAGAACCGTGCCGTGATACCTTGCTGAACTCTTGCGATGTGGAAACCCTCAAGAATTTTCAGGACTCCTTGGGTATCTGGGCCTTGCCACTTCAGCGTCCAACCTTTGGATTGCTTCACATTGAAGGCAAAATTTTCAAGGTGATGATACCCCCTAGCAAGGTACATCGAACTGGAATCTTTTGTCAGCGGCGTGCCATCAATCCAAAGGTTTGAATTCAAGTCGTAATTGACTTGGAAGACATATTCACCTTCATGTACCACGTAAATGATGCCTTCGCACCTCCCTGAGTAGTTTGATTTGGCTGCACTCTGCAGTGCTTTCAATTCTTCGGGGGTTTCAAACTGGATCTGAGGAACTGTCATACGCGAGAAAGCATCTAGTTTGCGAAGGGTCCGCACTCCGACGGAAGAATCAGACGTCTCGATGAAAGAAAGAGTAAAACCATGCTCAAGTGCCGCCTTTTTGGGCTCTTTTGGTGCGAGAGAACAATGGCTGCCAACCAGATAGTGCATTCCGTTTCCAGTATCTCTTCCTCTCCAGGACAACTGCAACAGGTTGTCCTTGCGAAAACCAGTTACCCACTTGATCTCAATGGTATGCATTCCACTTGCAAGGAAGATGTTGAAGGACTTGATTCTTTTTGACGGAGACAGTTCAAACAACGTAGTTCCATCAAGTCTAAGGTTTGCATATTGTCTTGTGAACATACGAAAATAGTATGATCCCTCCATCCTAACATTGATTACTGCACGAATCTTGACTCCAACCTTTTGCTGTGTCGTGTCGATGTCTAGCAAAGATTGCAGAAGATTGTTTTTGATATACGTCTTGTCGATTGGGAAAGACAGGTAAGGATCTTCGGGCCAACTGCCACTAAGTCCCTCGGTGCTTCCGGGTAGCAGATAGAAGTGCGCGATGGTCCCAGAAACGAGATACTGTCCTAAAGGACACAGGTTCTCATTCAAGGCAATCCAATCCACGTCGACTGACTCATGCTGCCCTCGATTCGACGATCTGTCTGCAAACTCTTGCACACACACTTTAAATTTGTCGTTGTCAACACCTTCGATCCAAGTGGTCAGCGGGGAGCTTTGATCAGACGAAGCAGGTTTGTTTTCTCTAACGGAGGCTTGAATAATGGGTGGGTAGATCCAGTAAGATTCGAAAGGTACAACGGCACATCGTGATCGTTGGCTTTCACTCCGCCATTTCCATCCTTCAATAGTTGTTGTTCCTGAGAACCGACAATAATTAGGGCATGGTAATTGAAATTGCAATCAAATTACCATCCATTACATTCTTGGGAACTTCAACCCATGCGATGTATGATACAATAACATCTGTCTTGAGGTTTTGCTTCTTTTCCAAACCTATGCACAGCGTTCCCCCGGAAGGGGTCAGCTCTTGCCACCATGAGGTAATCAAGTTAGGGGTTTTCGGGTTAGCGACATATTGGGCACTGTCGATGACTCTTGGTCTTTGAGGAAACGAGGGACTGAACTCGACTTTCTTACACTGACTGTTGCCTTTAGCAGCCTCGAATCTGCATTGAAGTCAGCAGAATTTTCTTGACGGGTAGAGCATACCGAATGTTTCCGGCTCGTGATCCTTGGAAAGGCGAGTCTGTGAATGCAAGGTATGACGCCTGCAGTCTCCGATCAAAATAACTATTTCTGTTTTTGAGGCCTCTTGAATTGGTTTTCTGAATGCACGTCGTGAAGTTCTCATCGCTGAGGTCCTGCACCCAGGCGGTAGTGGGCTGCTTTCGACTGTAGACATCATTGTCTCGAATCGAAGTCTCAGTGAAGCAAGGGGTCACGATGACGTTGAACTTCCCCGATGCTTCAAACGTAAAATCAGAAGAGATGCACTGTTGAAAACCATAGGAGGTGGGAGCTTGAGCATACCTGAAACAAGAAAAACAGTCATAGCATTCCTTAACGAGGCGCGCTTGTTACCTCGTGACCAAACTTGCCTCTGCTTGTGAATTTTCAAACCGTGACAGACGACACTTCGTGTCGACTCGGGCATGAGAGCCGTGCAGGTTTCTGCGGGTTTCGCATGTCGTTCCATTCGTGTTATACAGAATTGGCACACAAAAGCCCTCCTTTGAGTCCGATTCCTGTTCAAAGATGAGGCGCACATGTGAACTTATCCTGTTGTTACCTTCGACTGCATGCAAAGCTCACAACTTTGCACTTTGCTGCATGAATCAACAGTTTTTCGCTCTGAAATCCGTTCGCACAGTCCTGGAAATTTCGAGTTGACAAGGCCTACTGATTGCCACTCTCTTCCTTCAGCATTCCCGAAGGCAACGAACTGTGCATGTCGATTAGATTGGTCAGGGTGATCGTCATTTTCTGGAACCTGATTTGATTGTTCTGGTTGACCTTGAGACCAACTTCTGTATGAAGAGTTTGAGCCATCGAGCCAGAAAAATGAATCGAACGGTCCAGTGCGAACAAGCCCAATGTAACCTGTATTACATGAGCTTGTTGTAACAAAAAATACAAACGAAATGAGATACAAGGAGGTTTGGTGCATAGCTTAGCAACATTCTCTGCCTGCGTCTGAAAGGGAATGGAAGTGACTTGGACTAGTTGCAACTCTCAAGGTGAAAGTCGCACCTCGTCTTCAAGAGTCACTAGCTCTCCCCCTTTCAACAAGCATTCCCTGCGTACTTGAAAGAATTCTCCCGCTGGCACAAGAAAGTACTTCTTGCCACCGTACAAGGTCGAGGCCAACTGCTACCATTTCAGTTCTCATCAGACCACTGTCACGGCTCGATAGTCCTTGATATCAAAACAGTTAAGAGTTGATTCATACCTGAAGGTTCAAAACTCTCTTTGCCATCTCAAACAGATCAGTGCTCTCTGATCCCTGCCATGACCCATGCAGTCAGCACTGGTTCCAACCTCAAGATTAACGAAATTACATCAGCAGGTTGCGATCCTTGTTGAATGACCATTGTGAGAGCAACAAGTGTGATGCCGAGAGAGACAGCAAGGATCAGTCTTGCTTTCTTGGAAGCGATTTCCCTTCCACTCATTTTGTACTCGATTGATCTCAGGGAACGCCGGGAGTCTGGAGTCACAGTGTGTGCTTGAACTGGTCTGGTTTCGGTCGTGGGGTTCTTGGATCACGTTGGCGTGACGAGCTCAAGTCGGGTTCACCTTCCTCCTTCACTTCAGCTCCTCCATAGCTGCGACACTCCGCATACCAGTGTGCCGCCCGCCATGCCAGGTCCTAGGTTCCCGAAATAGAATTTGCAGAGACCGGACCGTCGTACAAAAAGACAGCAATTGATAACTAAGAGGATTTATAGCAAAAGGTGAAGGCAGAAATTTGGGAAGGCAGTAATTCACGGACCCCAATTTTGACTTGAGAATTCTGAGGTAAATGAGGGGTGGGTGATGTTTCCGTGATCTCCCCCCAATATCACCGTGATCGCTCCTCGAGTTTTACCCCTGCATGAGTAGCAAAAATGCTGAAGGGGGTAGTTATACAGGAAATCAGGAGGGTGGGGGTGGTAGCGTGACGAGGAGCGGGCGGGAGGGAGGTGGGAGGTGGGGGGAACAGGGTGCAGGGGGGGAGTGGGGAAGGGAACGAGAGTCAGGGGAGGCTGCAGGAGGAGAAAGACAGGGGACGTGACGAGTAGGCGAAGAAGATGGAAAAGCATTGGATCCGATGTTACACAGAAGCCAGCAAGTGCCGCACAGGTTTGTTGGAAGCAAAGCATTACGCCCGATCGGCATCAGGGCAAATGTACTCCAGTATTGTAGGCAGAGTCACGATGCTGATTTGTTTGTGGGAGAATCGAGTGCAAACGGTAAAACATGCACACCGCTATTTCTTCGATCTGTTGAGATTTCCCAGATCGTGACTGCCGCGTGTAAACTAAGATAATTTCTAACCATCGTCCTAACGATGAGAAGATGCTTGCTCCTTGTAATCTTGACCTATTCTCGTCGAGGAGTGTTTCAATGTGACGACAACCAGAAGATCAAATGTGCCGCAAGCTGACTGTTTTGTATGTAGTGGTTTCGTGCTCGGAGAGACTGATGATCAAGGGTATCGATGACGTCGGAAGATTTTACACCTGCCATGAAGAGCTGTTGAGGGTCCAGAATGAAAACAGGGAGAAGTGGTATGAGGCCAATCGAGAATGGTGGGTTACGGGGTATGGTGGCACAACAGATTCAGAGGCTATGGTGGGAGATGATGATGGAGAAGAAGATTGCATAGAGAGTTTGCGCTTCCTGGATCGAATGCTTGAAAAGCATCCAGGCAAAACCTTGGAAACAGCAATAGATGCAGGTTGATCTGCATGAACAAGCGCTTGCCTCTTTCTCACTGTGAAGAAAGGTGCTGGAGTCGGTCGAGTGACCAGAGCTGTGCTGCTGCGGCGATGCAAGCGAGTGATGCTGATAGAAGGCGACAGTCAATGGTCAAAACAATCAAAAAGTGAGCGCATGTTTGTGAACAGACAGCGAACCTTGACATGTTCACTTTCACTCCCAGTGTACCTTGGCAAGAAAAGGGCGATGAGATGCGAATTCAAATGTGCTCGTTTGGACGATCTCAGTCCATTGCCGAGCAATTCAGCAGACTTGGTGTGGATTCAGTGGACGCTGCAGTACTTGACAGACCAGGACGTGGTACTCCCTTTTGGCTCCTGTGAGGACAAACTTATGTCACTGACTCCTTCTGCTAGATCAAGTGCTTGGAGTCCCTCTCCAAGGGTCTCAGGAGACATGGATTTCTAATTGTCAAGGAGAACAGACCCTATGGGCACGCGAGGAATGACAGGTCCTCGAAAGCGAGCTTTGTCTTCTCTGCTCCTCTTGCTGTGTACCCACAGGACTCATTTTTTGCTTCCACAGGTTTCAGATGGACACGCCTGATGGGGAGAATGGGAGATACGACATCACGCGCACAGATGTGCATCACAGAATACTGTTTGAGAAGGCACTCGAAGTTTCTTTGGACACACCGCCTGCTGATTGCATTGTGCAGGCTGGACTAACCGTTGAGGATTCTGAGCTAGGTATGGAAACGTGTTCATACTGCCTCAGACCGAAGGACAATTCTAAGAGCGTATCCACAAGAAGCTCGTAACAAGTAAAAGTGCGTTTTATCCATTCAATGAAGATCGTTTGCGGCTTACATTGCCCAATTAAGTTGACTCCACCACCTCTCTATATAGTCCAATCATGTCTTAGTCGGTCTTTTCTAGTCAGTCGTGTGTGCCTTTGCCAGCTCAAGCTCCGCCTGAGTGAGACGCTCGCGCAGCTTGCGGTTTGCCTCCTTCAGTTTGTAGACCTGCTGTTTGGCCTCAAGACGATCTTGCTCGGCCTGGGCATGGCCCAGGGAAGCAGTCACGAGCTGCATCGAAACCCTCTCGAGCTCTGCAGTCATTTTCTCCAGCTCTTGACGCGAATTGTTCTGCGCATCCCCATTGGATTGTTGAACTTTCTCGTCTGACTGTACCTTGGAGTTGGCGACAGGCTCCTTTCCTTCCACCTGCTTGCGAATCTGTGCCAACTCGGCTTCTAGAGAGCCCTTCGCCTCGGTCATCTTCTCAAGGTGATTCTTGTACTTGGCTGACTTCTGCTTCTCGTGTTCCAAAAGCGATTCGAGCTCTGCAGTGTCTGCGTTTCCTTTCCTTTCCTCCTCCTTCCTCAGGGCTTCGTTGTTTGCTTTCTCGCCCTGCAGCTGCTTCTGGAGCGAATCCCTCTCTTCTCTAAGAGCTGACGCTTCCGACTTGAGCTGCTTGATCTCTGCCTTCAATCTTTCCAGCTCCGACTTCTCGACAGAACTCTTGGAAACTCCAGCTTCAAACTCATTCATAAGAGTGACGTACTGCTTCTCAGCGCGCTCGTTCTCCTGCAACAGTTCTTCCTGCACCTTCATGGCTGCCTCCAGGTCTGCTTCGAGCTTGCGGATGGTCGATGTCGCCTCTTCGAGCTCATCCTCCTTCTGCATCAGAAGCTTTTCAGTGTCTTTGAGATTCTCTGTAGTCCATTGCAGATCAGCCTTGGCGCTCAACAGCGCATCTTTCAGTTCCTGTATGTCTCCTCCGACTGCTGCAGACGCAGTAGGAGACAGAATATCGCTCTTGGCTGATTTCGGAGGTTTTTCAGGGGATTCTTCGTCCTCCTTTATCTCTACGTTGGCCTCTTCTTCGCCATCCTCGTCAATACTGTTCAATGACGTGTTGGTTGTTGCCTGGCTTGACGTCTCGATGTTCACGCTCGACATGTCCGACATGGCGTCGCCTTCGGACCCGCCCTTAAAGTTCTTCAACCACAGGCTCTTGATGTTCAAGGAGATGATGGCTGGCGCGTTGCTCTCGGAAACCTTCATGTTCAGCTTCACGTCTTCGTTGAGCCCTCTTGGATCAGTGTTGACATACTCGGCGAGGTTCAGGTACGTGGTTCCGATGCGCTTCTCCTTCTCCCGCATCGCGCGGGGGTTGATACGAATGAGAGAGATCTTGTAAGTCTTCTCGTCGAACTTCCCGGTCTGCATCGACTTGTACATGGTACACACCATCTTCATGACGCCATCTGAGGGGCTCGGCTCCGCCCTCTGATTCACCGCGAAGATTTCCTTGGTGCTCACAGCCTTAGCCCCTCGTGTGAGCATCAGACGGAGATGTTTGTACTTAGCCGGAAGCTGGGTCATGAGCTGAGTTGTAATGGTAACCTCAAATTTCAGAGGCTGCTGCGATTTGTTGTGGATGTGGAACATGGTGAGGAACGATTCCTTTGGTGTCAAGGAGATGTTCTGATGTAGTTGATCAAAGAAGATATGACGAATTCAAGGCAATCGTGTGAGCAGAAGCGATGACACAAAACCTGAATTGCTGAGAATTTGAAGTCCCCAGATTAGACTCGATTCAAAGAGCTCCTCCTTATCAAACAATGTGCTTCAATCGCTCCACACTTGTCACAATTGCTTCTGTATCCTCAAAGACACAAGTTAATCATCGATTTCACTTCTCTCTCACTTCTCTCCTGCTCCTCCCTTTCCTCCATTCTCCTCAGTCCATCCGCCTGCCGCCATCTCTGGCCTGTTCCCCTACCACCAACCCCTTCATCTACGAAAAGCAAAACACTACCGGTTATTAGAAGCCTAATAGTACCGGTCCGAACAACCCACCCTGTATGGGATGAGAACTTGAAAGGAATATTCCCCAACCTGAGAGGTTCAAACTTTCTCCTCAAGATGGTTGAAATTACAAAATAAAGAGCAAATAATCAATTTGAATGTCAATTCTGAATTAAATAGCCCCTTACGGCGAAATGCCGTTATGACCGTTGGATAGTTTTAGTCAAATGTTTCAAGGGCTCAGTGACGCGGGCCCAGTGTAGATGACTTGGCCGCCCACCATCGGGTGACCGAACGGCGGTGGCACATTCGCGCCGCGGCCCGGCCGGTCGGCCCGGGCGGGCCTCACCGTCTGTGACTGGCACTGGCAGTACCGTCGGTCAGAGACTCGTCGGACTGGCCGGCAACTTGAGTAGTGAACAGGCGGCGGCCGCGCGGCGGCGTGCCGGGCGTGACGGTCGGATAGTGACGGATCTTTCATGCCATTCAATGATTTAGGTTATCAGTCGCTCAGATCCTCGTCCCCCATGATGTGCGGCCTGCGAGGATCACTGGAAATGAGCCCCGACAGAAGCGAGAAGGCGGGAAGAGCGAGGACAAGGAGGCGAGGGAGGAGAACGGGTGAGAGACGAGATGGGATGAGAGAAGAGAGAGAAGAGATGGGATGAAGAGGTACCTCTCGTCAGAGTCCGAATCTGATGACTCGTGCTTGCTCTTCTTCGTTTCTCTGCTCTTCTCTCCACCGTTGGTCTTCCCCGTGCTTGTCGTTCCTTTTCCTGCCGCACCCTCGCGAGTCTGCGGAGCTTGTTCGCTTCCTGTAGAGACGTAAAACAAACGAGGAGAGGCAGGGAAGGGGCAGAGAGTGGGGAGGGAGGGAGGGGGAGGGAGAGAAGAAAATGAGAGATTGTAGAGAACGAGCGAGGGCTGGGAAAGGGCAAGGGAGACGGAGAAGAAGGCAGGAGAAGGTTGAGAGAAGGTGTGTGTGTGTGTGTGTGGTGGGGACGGGGGGGACGGGGGGTAGAGGAAAGGAAAGGAAGGA